TTTTCTATGTCAGTTGAGATGATCATGTGATCCTTTCCTTTTAGCTGTGCAGTGGAATACACTGATTGATTTTCTAATGCTGAACTGTCCTTGCATACCTGATATGGATACCACTTCATCATGATGTACTATTTTCTGATATGCTCTTGAATTCCATTGGTTAGAATTTTGTTGAAGATTTCAGTATGTATATTCTGAGGGATACTGATCTGTAATTTTCTTTTTTTGTGGTGCCTTAGCATCACAAAATCATTATCAAGATTATGTTGGCTTCATAACATGAATTAGATAGTAATCCTTTCTTTTCTATGCTCTGCAATAGTTTTAAGTTGTATTGGTGTGAGCTCTTCTCTGAATGGTAGAATTCTCCAGTGAAGTGATCAGGCCAGGACCTTTTTGCGTTACAAGGGTTGTTTTTGTTTGTTTATTTCTTGTTTTTTTAACTTCTTCAATCTCTTCTTTTGTTATGGATCTGTTCAGTTTTTCTACCACAGTTTGTGTTAGTTTAGGAACACAGTGTGTTTACAGAAATTTGGCCATTTTCTCTCTTGTTGGAGTACAATTTCTCATAGTATCTGTTAATATCTTTTCTATTTCAGTTGGTTCTGTTATAATACCACCCATCTCATTTCTTATTTGGGTTATTTCCTTTTTCTCCTGCTTTTCTTTTGTCATTTTGGCCAGTGGTTTGTCAATTTTATTGATCCTTTCAAAGAACCAACTCTAGTCTTGTTGATTCTTTCTACTATTTTTCTGTTCTCTGTTTCATTTATTTCTGCTCTAGTCTTTATTATTTCCTTCCTTTCCGATCTTTATTATTTCCTCACTATGGACATTTGCTGCTCTCTTTCTAGTTTTTCTAGTTGTAGAGTTAATATTTTGATTTTGGCCCTTTCTTCTTTTTCATTGTGTGTGCTTATTGCTATAAATTGACCTCTGAGCACTGATTTTGCTGTGTCTCAAATGTTTGAGTATGTTGTATTTTCATTCATGTTTGATTCCAGGAAATTTTTTTGTCACCTTTGATTTACTCTATTATCCAGTGGTTTTTAAGCATGGAGTTTTTCAGTTTCCTTGTATGTGATTTTTTTCTCCTTGCTTCACCTGTTACCGATTTCTACTCTTAAAGCATTGTGATCAGAGAAATCGCTTTGTATTATTTCAATGTTTTGGATTTTATTGAGGCTTAAGGAGCTCTGGAGGAGCTCTGGTAGCATAGTGCCTAAGGCACTTGACTGCTAGCCAGAAGGCTGGCAGTTCAAACCCATCAGCCAGTCCTAGGAAGGAAGGTTGGGCAATCCTACTTCTGTAGTGATACTGCCTCGGAAACCCAAGGAGGGGTTGCTATGAGTCGGGTCCGACTCGATGGCACATAACAACAACAGCAAGAAGGAGCTCTGGTGGTGTAGTGGTCAAGGTATGTAGCTGCTAGACAAAAGGTCAATGGTTCAAACCCACCAGCCAATCCATGAAAGAAAGATGAGGCAGTCTGCTTCTGTAAAGATGTATAGCCTTGGAAACCCAGTAGGGGTCACAATGTGTCAGAAATGACTTGTTTTGTGGCCTAAAATGTGGTCTCTTCTGGAGAATGATCCATGTGCACTGGAAAAGAACATGCATTTTGCTGCTTTCGGGTGCGGTGTTCTATATATGACGTCAAATTGGTTGATTGTGATCTTCAGTGATTGTGATCTTCAGTATTTTTGCTGAGTTTTTTTCTAGTCATTCTGTTCTTCATTGAAAGTGGTGCATTTATGTCTCCAATTATTATTGTGGAACTATCTATTTCTCTTTTCAATGCTGTTAGAATTTGTTTCATGTATTTTGGAGTCCTGATATTGTGTGCATATATATATTTATTATAGTTACATCCTCTTGGTGGAATGACATTTTAATCATTATATAATGTCCTTACTCATCTTTTACTCTGGATTTTTGCCTTAAAGTCTATTTTACAGAAATTAATATTGCCATTCCTGCTGTTTTTTGGTTATTGTTTGCTTGATATATTATTTTCCATATGTGAGCTTTAGTTTATGTCTTTGTGTCAAAAGTGTCTCTCTTGTAGACAGTATACTGATCATCATGTTTATCCATTCTGCCACACTCTGTCTCTTTACTGGTGCATTTAAGCTGTATACATTCAGTATGATTATCAATAGGCGTGAATGTACTGCTGCCATTTTGCTGTGCTTTTAATGTCTGTAAGGTGTTGATGGTTTCTTTGTTCTACTTAATTTTTTGTGCTGAGTTATTTTTGTTTGTGGATTTTCTTTTCATTTCTTTCACTGTTTTGTGTTTGCAAGTCTATGTTTTTCTACTTTTTTTTTTTTTTTATGAGTAGGTTAGGTAACTTTCTTTGTGGTAACCTTGAAATTTGTCTTCTTAAGTCTTCTTCTTGCTGTTGTTAGCTGCCATTGAGTCAGCTCCGACTCATAGTGACCCTATGTTCAACAGAACAAAACACTGCCTGGTCCTGTGCCAGCCTCACAATCCTTGCTATACCTGAACCCACTGTTGCAGCCACTGTGTCAATCCATCTCACTGAGGGTCTTCCCTTTTTTCGTTGGCCCTCCACTTTACCAAGCATGATATCCTTCTCCAGGGAAGGTACCATCTGACAACATGACCAAAGTAGGTGAGAGGAACTTTGGCCATTCTTGCTTCCAAGGAGCATTCTGGCTCCTAAGTCTTAAGTTCTTTTATTTTTTAATATCATCTGACTTCTTCTCCATATGAAAGTTCTATAACTACACTAATTACTCACCTTTTTTTGTTCTGACATGTCATTTACAGATTGATCTCTCTAGTTCCCTATTTTCAGTTTTCAGCTTTGGGTTTCTATTTTTATTGTGATTTGGGTGAAAGTTTATGGAACAAATTCATTTTCTATACACTAGTTCATACACATTTTGTGTCATGACATTGACTGCAATTCCCCACAGTGTAACAGCTCTCTTCCCACTTCCTCCCCATAGTTATATCTTCCCTGTCTACTTCCCTCTCATGTGCACTCCTGCCCCCTCAACTGTCTCCCTGTGCATACACTGCCCCTCCCTTCTCCCATGACTGATCACTCCAAGGAGTGTATCTACCTCGTGTAAAAAAATGTTCAGCCCATATGCCTGTCTATTATTTGGCTGGAAGCCACAGGAATGAGTTCAAATCCAGACCTGAGGGTAGCTAGGGGCCATAATCTCAGGGGTCTCACCAGGCTCTATCAGACCAGCAACCCTGGTCTTTATTTATGATTTTGAGTTTTGTTCCACATTATTCTTCTATTCTATCTGTGATCTCCCGTACCAATTCCACTTTGGGTTTCTTTTTTTTTTTTTTTGAGAAATTGTTATCTGGCTTGGTATCTTTAAATCTTTAAACCTTAAGCCAAAAATATCCCCTGAAGTCATCTTAAAACAGAACTACAGTTTAGCTGAAAAACTAGTAAAAAAAAAAAAAAAAAAGGTCTGCTTAAGCATTATGCTCTTTTAAGAATTATCTACATGGGATCAAATTGGCAACCACAACTCAAAAGATTAGATAGGAACCTTAGGAGACAGGGAATTTATGTTAATGAGGTAGAAACAACTCAGAAAAGGCAGGTGAGAATATACACAATTTGAAGAATATAATCACTGTCACTAAATTGTACAGGTAGAAACTGCTGAATTGGTGTATGTTTTGGTGTGTGTATTCTCAACAATGGGAGCTCTGGTAGCACAGTGGCTAAGACACTTGCCTGCTAACCAGGCGGCTGGCGGTTCAAACCCACAAGCCACTCCTCGGAAGGAAGGTTGGGCAATCCTACTTCCGTAGTGATACTGCCTCGGAAACCCAAGGAGGGGTCGCTATGAGTCGGGGCCAACTCGATGGCAAATAACAACAACAAATAACAATTTTCAACAATATCAAAATTAAGAAAATTAAGAAAAAAATGAAAGGTATACATACACACACACACACACACACACAACTACAAAAGGGATCTATAACTTCACATCCAAAACTAAAATGTTTAAGAAAACTGTGAAAGAAAACAAAAGGAATGAAAATTTCAGAAGAAAAAAATGCTTACAAATAGTAAAAAATTTTTATGAGAAATACATTTAACAAAATATTGTACGTAACAGCTAAACAATACCTTAAAACAGAACATGTTTTCAAAATATATCCAATACAAACTAATAGAAAGGTAAATTTAAGAGAAGGGCTTAGACATATCTAGGTAAACAAAACAACATACCTGAACGTATTTTCCTGTCTACTTTTTCCAGAAGTTGCTTGTCACGCACATCACGTCCCAAGAGGTTATGACAGGCAGTGGTCTGCCTAAGTTCTTCTTTTCTAGCTTTTCTCTCTTTTTCTTTTTCTCTGTCTTTTCCTCTACTATGAGACTTTTCTGTATCTTGTTCTCGATGTCTCTCTTTATATTTTTCTCTTTCCCGGTCTTTTGTGTCTTTTTTTCTTTCCCTATGTTTGTCTCTGTCCCTCTCACCTTGAGGATTCTCCTTAGACACGTGAGCATCTCTTTCATTTGTCCTTTCTTTATACTTTGTGTCTCTGTCTTGATCCTTGTATTTACGCTCTCTGTATTCAAGTAGGTCACTTTCTGAGTCCTTATGTGGCTTTTTTTCTCTATGTTTCTTTTCTTCTTTTGGACTATCTGATTGTGCAATCTAAAATAGGCAGAGAGAAAAAAGGGTTACTTGTTTACTAGAAAAGCAAATTTTATCTGAGCCTTTAATATCTGAATCTGAGTCATACTCATTTGCAGGGTCTTAAAAAACACATTGCATGCAACTTCTTTCCAACTTAAGTAAGATAGGTGGTGGGGCCTGAATTAATATTCTCAGAATTTGATAATATTTGTGGTCAAATTTATTATTTTATATGACTGACTACTGAAGTCCCTTATATCACAGACATTCAAACCACATTTTTGCCAAAACAAATCTAAAATGCTATACTGATTAGAAAGAAAAAGAAACGTACTGAATTTGTGGTTTAAAGTTACAGGACACTAATTGCCTGTGTCCTATCAAAGAAGGAACCTAGAGCCCTCTTTTGGTCCTCTAGTGCCACTCTAACAGAAATAACCACAAGAGGATAACTTTAACAAACAGATTTTCTTTTACAGTTTTGGAGGCTTGAAGTCTTAAGTTCAAGTACCCACTCTAGAGGCTGGGTAAAAGGCCCTTGTGATAATTGTTTGTGTGTCAACTTGGCCTGGTTGAGTGGCTGGGCAGCTGGTGGCTGTTATTCCCCATGATGAGACTGGCAATCAACTCCATGGTGGGATTTACCACAAGCAGCTGAGTAGCTGACTTTGGGATGTGGTCTGCTTCCTGTATATAAGTGGAAGCCTTGGGAATGGTCTCTAGCTTATGGCACCTTGAACCCTGCATGTAGCTGTGTTGTTGTTCAGCAGCCTGCCACGCTCTGCTGACCTCGGGACTTACAATGGACTTGAATTAATGGCCTGCCGTGTGATTTGGTAATATTGGAACTGTGCCTTGTTACTTGTCAACCTTGGGCTTGGCAGCCTCAGCAGCCAGCAGCTGTCTGAGTGAAGGAAAGCCTCTAGCTTCAATGGGCCAGAAACAGGAAGCAGAGCTGAAGCCCAAGGCTGAAGGGCTTTCACCCAGCCCCTAGAGCTTGACACTATGAACTTGGTCTTAAAGCCTCCAAATTGTAAGAGTAAACTTTTGTTTGTTTAAGCCATTCCATTTGTGGTATATTCTTGTCAGAGTGGCACTAGGTAACCAGAACACCCTTCAATCTTGGGCTTCAGCTCTGCCTCATGCTCCTAGCCCAATGAAGCCAGAGGCATCTCTTAATTCAAGCAGCAGCTGGCTGCTGAGGCTGACAAACCCAAGGTCAACAAGTAAAATGGCACAGTCCCAAAATTATCAAGAAACATGGCAGGCCACTAGTTCAAATGCAAAAACAGTCTCAAAACCAGCAGACAACATGGCAGGCCACTGAGATGAAGACTAGGCAAAATGCAGGGTCCAGGTGTGCCAAAAGGCTCAGAGACCTTCCTCAAAGCTTCTCATATGCAGGAAGCAGACAACATCCCTAAGGCTGCTCACAGTAGATTCCACCATGGAGTTGATTACCAGTTTCATCATGGAAAATAACTACATCCAGCTGCCAAGTCACTCAAAACCAGGCCCAAACAAGTTGACACACAACCTTAACTAACACAAGCTGAAAGCCTGTTCTTTCTTCCCTCCCCTAGCAGCCATAGAAAATATAAGCAGTAACGACCTCAGGAGGACTCCATTTCAATCCCCAGATTCTCCATTGTTTTGGTTCTCTAGTGCTGCTCTAACAGAAAATACCACAAGCGGTGCTGACTTTAACAAAGAGGAGTTTATTCTCGTACAGCTTAGGAAGCAGTCTGAGCTCAAAGTGCCAGCTCCAGGGCCCGGACGAAAGCCCCTCAACCTTGGGCTTCAACTCTGCCTCTTGCTCCCAGCCCACTAGAGCTGGAGGTAGCTCCTAACTCAGGCAGCTGCTGGCTACTGAGACTGACAAACTCAAGGTCAACAAGTAAAATGGCATAGTCCAAAGATTATCAAGCAACATGGCAGGCCAACAGTTCAAATCCAGAAACAGTCTCAAGATCGGCAGACAACATGGCAGGCTACTGAGATGAAGACTCAAGCAAATGTAGGATCCAGATGTGCCAAAAAGCTCGAGACTTTATCCAAAGCTGCTTCTTATATCTTAGAAGCAGGCCACATCCCTAAGGCAGCTACTCAGCTGCTCACAGTAGATTCTACCATGGAGTTTATTACCAGTCTCATCAACTGCCCAGCCACTCAAAAATGGGCCCTGTAAAGTTAACACATAACCTAAACTACCACACCTATCCACCCTTATCCCTACCACTGCACCTACACCCTGAACCAAGAGCCACACAAGCCTGAACAATGACAGAAGACCAACTGACCGGCTGAGGATAAAGGGATAGACTAAAATTACCAGCCACCCTAAGAAACTAGACATGTCCAATACCATAATTTTACCCTATTCCACTACAGTTCCAAAAAATATTAACTATAATGGCTTTATCTTTGAATCAAAAACTCCTATGAAATAAGCCAAGTGTAATCAAAATTTTACAGTATCATAAACTAGGTAAAACTGTCAAGGAAAACCATGTAAGTTCCAAATGTTGTTGTTGTTGTTATATGCCATCGAGTCAGACCCAACTCATAGAGACCCCTCCTTGGGTTTCTGAGGCAGTATTACCACGGAAGTAGATTGCCCCATCTTCCTTCCGAGGAGTGGCTGGTGGGTTTGAACCGCCAGCCTTCCGGTTAGCAATCAAGTGCCTTAGGCACTACGCTACCAGAGCTCCCAAATAGATGCCAATTTAAATGTATAAAGTATATTACCCGAAGGTGTTTTCTGAGGTCATCCGCTTTCCATGTATCATCTTTTGTTCTTCTCTGAAAAGGAAATTACAAGGTTAAGAATTTTAAACAATTTAAATAACTAATTTCATATGGTCTAGTGAGCCACTGGAGCTCTGGTGGTGCAGTGGTTAAAACATTTGGCTGTGAACCAAACAGTCAGCAGTCAAATGCACCAGCCACTTCATGGGAGAAAGATGGCACAGTCTGCTTCTGTAAAGGTTACACCCTTGCAAACACTATAAGGCAATTCTACTCTGTTCTATAGGGTCACTATGAGTCAATTGACTCAACGGCAATGGGTTTAGTTTTTGGTTTAGTGAACTACTATTCATTGGGCCACATAAAGCACTGGCAATTAATTCTTGATATGCCAGAAAACAGTCACCTCTCTAATGGAATAAAAGTTAATAGAAACACAGGTTTTTAAAAATTATTCACTAGTCTGAAATTACACATGACTACAGAATGGACTCCTTTGCTACTGCAAAAACCATTAGAAAGTACAGGAAAAAAAAAGAGAGAGAGAAAGAAAACAAGTTATAACAAGTCTAAATAACAGATCAAGGACAAATATTTTGTGAGTTTAAAATACATTGTATCTAATTTCATTTTCCATAAATAGCCACAATATTTTTATTCCAAATGCTCATCTTGCCATGCTATGGATTGAACTGTGTCCCCAAAAAATATGTGTCAACTGCGCTACACTATAATTCTTAGTATTGTATAATAACCTCTGTTTTGTGATCTGATATAATTAAGAATTCTACGTGTTGCACATCCTACTACAATGACATTAATGAAGCAAGATTAGGAGCAGTTATGTTAATGAGGTAAGAAGCAATGTACAGGATTAGGTTGTATTTTGAGTTAATCTCTTTTGAGATATAAAAGAGATTAATCAAGGGAGCAAAGATGAGAGGAACCTCCTACCACCAAGAAAGAAGAGCCAAGAGCATAGCATACCCCTTTGGACCTAGGGTCCCTGTGCTGAGAACACCTACAACCAGGGGAAGATTGATGACAAGGACCTTCCTCCAGAACTGAAAGAGAAAGAAAGCCCTCCCCTAGGACTAGCACCCCAAATTCAGAATTCTAGCCTCTTAGTGATACCACCTCGGAAACCCAAGGAGGGGTTGCTATGAGTCAGATCCGACTCAATGGCAAACAACAACAACAACTCACTATAAGAGAACAAATTTCTATTTGTTAAAGTCATCCACTTCTTTCTGTTAGAGCAGCACTAGAAAACTAAGACACATGTGACCCTGAGGCTCCTCTCATAGAAAGGTCAGGTTTATATTCCTTCACTTTCAAATTAGATAAGCTTATACTATGGAAGGAAGGATGCTATGTGACTTTCAAGGCAATACTGGTTCTCTTTGGGATGCTCACTGCAGGAAACTCACCCACCAAGATGTGAGGAAACATTGCAGTCACATGTAGTAGTTACAGTCAAGAGCCCCAGCTAACAGTAAGCATCAACCACCAGATACATGAGTACGCAAGATTTCAAATAATTCTAACTCCAGCTGGAGCTTTTGAGTCATACTCTACATAAACAAACTTACAGTCTTCCCAGCTATTAAACTCCAGAGACAAACCAAAACTACTGTGCATTGTCCAAATTCCTGAGCCTCAGAATATGTGGTCTTAATAAAATGGCTGCTGCTGTTTTATACAGCAAAGTTTGGGGTAGTTTGTTATGTACCAACAGTAAGAGGGATGGATGGTGGGAGGCAGAAAGGAAGAGAGGAACAGACAGGTAAGTAGTAGGTAGATAAATAAACAGATAATGTATTTAGCATCTAAAAAAAACAAATCAAACTCACTGCCGTTGAGTCAATTCAACTCATAGCGATATCTCCTTGGGTTTCCAAAGTGGTATCTCTATGGAAGTAGATTGCCCAATCTTCCTTCCAAGGAGTGGCTGGTGGGTTTGAACAGCCGGCTTTCTGGTTAGCAGTCAAATGCCTTAGGCACTATGCCATCTAGAGCATGTCAAATGCTATACTATGTCAAATACATTATTTAATCCTCTCAGTTCTATAAAGTGTGTTATTATCTCCATTTACAAGTGAGGAAACTGAAGAATAGAGAAGCTAAATAAATTCCCAGATATTACACAGTGCTAGCTAGATAATAGGACTTGAATAAATAATTATGGAATGAATGAAAGAATAAATGGTTACTTAAGAGTACTAAAAATAATAATAATAAAAATAAAAAGAGGCAAAGTCAGTCACCAAAGCCCCAGAGCCTGTCCTTTCTCCATTGACCCACCAAAACAAGCTGCTCCATATGCCTCTGAGAATAGAGCATTCCACAAGCTAGATGGCCTATTCTATAAAAACACCTTTATTCATTCAACAAATAAATACATATCAAGTTCCCAACAAATGTCAAGCACTATTCCAGACACTTGGATTAAATTTCGACTAAATTTGGACTATATAGGTAAATAAAACTGGGGGAAAAAAAAACTCCCTGCCTTCCAGGAAGTTAGCTACTGACTCCTCTAACATTTATTGCTATCTGTTGTCTAAGTAGTTGCTTCTCTGCTTTATAATGTATCTTTTTCAAGCATAGATCACATCTCCCCAGCTAAACTCTAAACTTCCGGAAAGAAAGTCTATTTGAATCCTCTCTTGTAGTTCAAGCATCAGCAATGCTTAGCTCACGATAGTGCCTCAGACATTATCCATGAAAAAATACATATAATGTGAATCCCTGCCATGGAACTGAGTCAAGGAATTTCATCAATTATCCAAAATGTTCTAAGAATTTAAGGGGAAATGTTAAAATAAGAAGTTGTGGTAGTCTTAAAATATGTCCACTGATTCTTCAACATTCCTTCCTTTACAAGAGTAATTTCCCTCCCCATAAATGTAGGTCAGACTTAATGACTCATTTCCAATGAAGAGAATATGGTAGAAGCAATGCTATGTGATTTCTAGGCTAGGTCACAAGATGGATAGATTCCTCCTGGCATTCTCCTGGATCACTCGTCCAGGAGAAGGCAGCACCACATCAATGAGGACAATCAAGGTGACTTGGGAGATGTCCATGTGAAGAACTGTAGACTCTTACCAACAGCCAGCACCAACTCAACAACCACGTAAGTGAGCCACCAGAAGTAGATTATTTAGCCCCAGCTAAACCTTCAGACAGGAGCCCTAGTGGTACAGTGGTTAAGTACTCAGCAGGCAGTTTGAACCTACCAGCCACTCAGTGAGAGAAAGATGTGGCTGTCTGCTTCTGTAAAAATTACAGTCTTGGAAACTATGGGGCAGTTCTCTGTTCTGCTATGAGCTGGCAATGACTCTACAGCAATGAGTTTGGTTTCTGGCATGGAAATCTTCAAATGAGTATAGCTCTGGCTGACATCTTGATTGCAAAGCATTAAGAGTCCAAGGCAGAAGTCCCAACAAAGTCACTCCCAAATTTCTGATCCACAGAAACTGTGATAATAAATGTTCTTTTAAGGCAAAGGTTGTTACACAGCAATAGGTAACACAGGCATTCAACCTCCACCTACCTAAATTGTACTCCATTTGCAAGGCCCAGTTCAAGCCTCACCTTCTCCATAGTCATCCTAAACTTTTACCTACTTTGAACTCCACCAATCTTAACACTGTGCCACCTAGTTAGCACTTCCTTGTAGAACTTCTGAAATTGTTTGCAACTAGTGTATGTTTGGTAGTCTCCCTAATTATAGTATAAACCCACTGAAGATAGAATCATAACTTACTCTTCTCTGGCATTCTTGCTTCATACTGCCACAAGTACTTCTGATACGCAACATATAGTTACTAATTATTGTGTTACACCCTTTCACCAGACCTACAACAACACTAATTAACATCACTTGATGTTAAGATAATGGCTTGATTATAACAGTAAAATTATTAGCTCAGCAAAATTAATCAAGGATGATTACCTGTAGAGAACAAGCTAATACTTAACCTGTTTCACGTTCCTTTTGAGAAACAAATAAATGAAGTTTGGTAAGGTTGTTCCAAATGAAAAGCAAATGTAATACAATGAAAAGTAAAGCTTAGTCATGGATAAGCCACTAAAAATCTTCTTGGTTATGTGAAAACTAGCAGAAGCAGAAAAAAAATTAATAGCTCATAAATATACTGTTGTTGTTGTTGTTATATGCCGTCGAGTCAGCCCCGACTCATAGCGACCCCTCCTTGGGTTTCCAAGGCAGTATCACTACGGAAGTAGGATTGCCCAACCTTCCTTCCGAGGAGCGGCTGGTGGGTTTTGAACCACCAGCCTTCTGGTTAGCAGTCAAGTGCCTTAGGCACTATGCTACCAGAGCTCCTCATAAATATACTAGATATAAATAAATAAAAGGCAGCTAATTGTAAGAATTTAATCAAAATATACTGTAATGACAAAATGTTGATCTGCTCTTACTGGAAAACGTTTTAATTGCCTCATTTACCAAAATGGATCCATACATAGTAAAGTATGTTATAAGATAATCCATTGCAATCAGAATACACATAACTGTAGCTTCTGAACTTTTTTATTTTTTTTTTTCCTCTTTCAGTTAACTGCTCTGTATAGAAGTTTAATGAGTGACCTATTCTAAACAAATAGTATAAATTCAACTACAAGAGAAGTGTGTTTGCTGTTAATAGAAGAGATAATAACAAGGACACAGTCTGTGAACCCCTTACCAGGAATGCAAAGGCATGTGGTCACTAATTAGGAACATAAAAAGTAAATATGTTTAAAAATATACTATTATATTTGAGTTGTTAATAATTATATTTCTTTTGCTGATAAAGTCAAGAACCCTGAAAGCAACATATGTCTAATCAAGATTATAAGATTTTTCTTCTACCTTTTAAACTTTTCACCAACAAAGAAACAGGTTTCTCCTTATAAATGCATAAAATATGAACTTTTGGGCATTTAAAAATCAGATAAATGGTATTACTTAGCCTTAAAGGATTTTTTTTTTCTGCTTTAAAGTTTAAAAATTTTAAATGACACATTTTAATGGTAAAACGTGAAAGTTAAAATAGAAAGTGTCCCTCTTTTGCTTATCACACGTCCCCATTACACTCTAATATGACCATTGTTAGCAATTTATTTTACATTTCTCCCTATATATATATATCCGTGTGTGTGTGTGTACATATATAGATATATGTATGTGTGTGTACACATAAACGTATACACACATACACATACATATGTAAGGAGCTCTGGTGGCATAGTAAGTACAGCATTTGGCTGCTAACTAGAAGGTTGGTGGTTTAAACTCACCAGCTGCCCCAAAGAAAGAAGATGAGGCAATCTACTTTCATAAAGATTTACAGCCTTGAAAACCCAATGGAGGTTGCTATGAGTTGAAATCAATTCAAAGGCAGTGGGTTTGGTTTATATATATGTATATATAGCAGTGGGTTTGGTTTGGTTTGGTTTGTATATATGTATGTATATATATAGTTGTTGGGAGCTCTGCTAGCATAGTGCCTAAAGTACTTGACTGCTAACCAGAAGGCTGGTGGTTCAAATCCACCAGCTACTCCTTAGAAGGAAGATGGGGCAATCTACTTCCGTAGTGATACTGCCTCGGAAACCCAAGGAGGGGTCGCTTTGAGTCGCATCGGACTCAACAGCACATAACAACAATATAGTTGTTGTTAGGTGCCACTGAGTCAGATCCCACCCACAGCAACCCTATGTGCAACAGAACGCAACACCATCTAGTACCACCCCATCCTCAAAATTCCTAATACGCCTATCATTTCAGTCACTGTGTCAACCAATCTCATTGAGGGTCTTCCCCTTTCTCACTGATCCTCCACTTTCCTGAGCATGATATTCTTCTCCAGGGAATGGTCCCTTCTAACAACATAACCAAAGTATATGAGACGAAGTCAGGCCATTCTTGCTCCTAAGGACCATTTCAGCTGTACTTCTTCTAAGACAGATTTGTTCCTTCTTCTGACAGTCCATGGTATTTTCACTATTCTTCACCAACATCACAATTCAAATGCCTCAATTCTTCTCTCTTCTTTATTCATTGTCCAGCTTTCACATGCATAGGAAGCAACTGAAAATACCATGGCTTGGGTCAGGTGCACCGTAGTCTACAAAGTGACATCTTTGCTCTTTAATATTTTAAAGAGGTCTTTTGCAGCATTTTTGCCCAGTGCAATTCGTCATCTCTTGTCTTCACTGCTACTTCCATGGGCAGTGATTGTGGATCCAAGTAAAATGAAATCCCTAACAATTTTTATTTTTTCTCTATTTATTGTGATGCTGCTTGTTGGTCCAGTTGTGAGGATTTTTGTTTTCTTTATGTTGAGGTGTAATCCATATTGAAGGCTGTAGTCTTTGATCTTCATCAGAAATTGCTTCAAGTCATCTTCACTTTCAGTGAGCAAGGCTATGTCATCTGCATATCACAGGTTGTTAATGACTCTTCATCTAATCCTGAGGCCAGGTTCTTCTTCATACAGTCTAGCTTCTCAGATTACATCCTCAACATACAGATTGAGTAAATATGGTGAAAGTATATAACCCTGACACACACTCTTCCTGATTTTAAACTATACAGTGTCCCCTCGTTCTGTTTGAAAGAGTGTATCTTGGTTATAAACAGGTTCCTCATGAGCACAAATGTTCTGGAATTCCCTTTATGTTATCCATAATCTGTTAAGACCCACAGAGTTGAATGCCTTTACATAGTCAGCAAAACACAAATAAACATCTTTCCAGTATTCTCTGCTTTCAGCCATGATCCATATGATATCAACAATGACATCCCTCCTTTTACATCCTTTTCTGAAACCATATTGCATTTCTGGCAGTTCCCTGTCAATATACTGCTGCTACCATTTTTTAATTATCTTTAGCACAATTTTACTTGCAAGTGATATTAATGAAATTGTTGGCAATTTGCACATTCTGTTGGATCACCTTTCTTTGGAATGGGCACAATATGGATCTCTTCCAGAATGTGGGCCAGGTTACTGTCTTCCAAATTTCTTGGCATAAACAAATAAGCATCTCCAGTACTGCATCCATTTGCTGAAACATCTCTATGGGTATTCCATCAATTCCTGGAGCCTTGTTTTTTGCCAATTCCTTCAGTGTAGCTCAGACTTCCTTTGATACCATCAGTTCTTCATCATATGATTCCTCCTGAAATGGCTGAATGTCAACCAATTCTTTTTGGTACAGTGATTCTGTCTGTTCCTTCCATCTTTTTTTGATGCTTCCTACATTGCTCAATATTTTGCCCACAGCATCCTCCAATATTGCAACTCAAGGCTTTATTTTTTTCATCAGTTTTTAAGCTTGAGAAATGCCAAGACTATTCTAATTCTAATTGACACATTTCAGTATAATACTTTATTCCGTCTTCTCAAGCTGCACTTTGAAATCTTCAGTTCAGCTCTTTTACTTCATCATTTTTTCCATCCACTTTACTCTCAGTTCAAGAGCAAGTTTCAGAATTTCTTCTGACTTCCATTTTGGTCTTTTCTTCCTTTCCTGTCTTTTTAATGACCTTCTGTTTTCTTTATGTGTGATATTCTTGATGTCATCCCACAACTCGTCTGGTTTTTGGTCATTGGTGTTCAATGCATCAAATCTATTCTTCAGATGGTCTCTAAATTCAGCTGGGAGATAATCAAGGTGGTATCTGGACTCTTCATGGACTTGTTTTAATTTTCTTCAGCTTCAATTTAAAGTTGTGTAAGAGCAAGTGATGCTCTGTTCCACAGTCAGCCCCTGGCCTTGTTCTGACCGATACTGAGCTTCTCCATTGTCCCTTTCCACAGATGTAGCAGAGTTGATTCCTGTGTATTCCATCAAGCAAAGTCTACATGGATAGTCACATTCTGTGTTGTTGAAAAAGATACGTGCAATGAATTAGTCATTGGTGTTGCAAAATTAAACCATGTGGTCTCCTGTGTCATTTCTATCACAAAGGCCATATTTTCCAACTACTGATGCTACTTCTTGGTTTCAAACTTTCACATTCCAGTAACAAATAATGATCAGTATATCTTTGATTGCACATTCTGTCAATTTCAAACTGCAGAAGTTGGTAAAAATCTTTAATTTCTTCATCTTTGGCATTAGTTATTGGTACATAAATTTGAACAACAACAGCATTAACTGGTCTTCCTTACAGGCATATGGGTATTATCCTATCACTGACAGTGTTGTACTTCAGAATAGATCTTGAAATGTACTTTTTGACAATGAATACAATGCCATTCCTCTTCATTTTATCACTCCCAGCATAGTAGACCATATGACTGTTTGATTCAAAATGGCCAATACCCTTGTATTTCACCTCACTATACCTAGGATATCGATCTTTATGCATACCGTTTCATTTTTGACAACTTCTAGTTTTCCTAGGTTCATAGTTCGTACATTTTATGTTCCGATTATTAACGAATGTTTGCAGCTGCGTCTTCTCATTTTGAGCTATGCCATATCAGCAAATGAAGGTTCCAAAAGCTTTACTCTAACCATGTCATTAAGGTTGACTCTACTTTGAGGAGGTGGCCCTTCTCCAGTCATATTTTGAGTGCCTTCCA